CACACACCTTTTTTAATCAAATCTAAAATCAACTTCACCTATAAATAGTTTGAAACCTGTTCTGAGTTAACGGAGGACATTAGCAACATTACCTGGACATTCAACATATCCTAGGTATTGCCAAGTGTCAGAATCTGTTTTTGATGATATCCCAACAATACTATGGAAGGGAAATCAGAAAAGGAATTCACAAATTGTAGTCATGAAGTGAATCAAACTTAGGTCTTCAGCATGACAAGGAAACATTTTAACCACTAGGCTACCCCTTTGCCCTGACATTTTAGAAGTATTTTATCATATAATGGAAAGTGTTGATGAAACCAACTAGCACTACCTTTAGAAAGGTCTGTACAGTGATCTGCCTACACACAAAAACTTGCATACAGTTCCTTAAAGTCGAGACATGGGTCTGTGATGAGTGAGTGTTAATGTAAAGCAATGCGATGGAAAGAGCACTATGGTATAACAATTGTGGTTCATTCATATCATAACATTCTTCCACGATTTTTTAAAGTTAGATTAGTGAATGAAAATATGGCTTAAAGTATGAGCTATTTAAGATAGCCATCATATCATAAAGAGATTATTAGCCAACTCTTTTCTTGTTTAAAAAATATATTTCCATTCATAATATACCATATGATATTAATCATATGAAAACACATTTGACTAATAATCTCTGTATAATGCAGGATGATGCTTGTGTCTACCATGTATCAAAGTACAATGTAAACAGTTCATCACATTTCTCACACAATAACCTAACAACCTAAAACCTATTTCAGTTTTCAAATATATAATTGACATGATGGTTTAATTTCTCAAAACAATCAGCCTCCATTCTTAACCAAATTGAAATTGATGAATTGCTTATACAAGTTCCACACACAAGCAATAAATTGTGTTTTGAACACTTGACCTCCTGACACAGTGGGGCATTACTTATCTCTATCAGTAGGTCTGTGCAATCGTCTCGAATTTCTCATTATACGAAAGAATTTCAACATTAACACATGATGGTTTGAGCTGTAACACTTGTATTTGGACACATCATATCAACAACAAGTGTCAACTAATTCACGGAGAATTCACAGTTCTAGAAATTTTGAAATTCTTTCCATCTGCCAATTCACATGGCGCGCTAACCCATCTGTTTACAAAGTTGCAGTGTGATAAAGTCTTCGTCCTGGTAATAATTAGTTAAATCAAGTTCACATCAAACTTTGAACACACACATTGCTTCCAGCGAAGGGGAACAAACACACAAACACAAACACAAACTTGAAACATTGATCAGTTGAGCAGGCAGCAAGTCAGCAAGAAATGGGACTATGAAATGTTCATGCACATGATAACATATTTGAATGTTAGGAAAAAAATATTAATATGTCCAATTATTGATAAAAATGAAAAAAACCCACCATTGTTACAACTCATTTGTTCTGGTGTAATGATGATATTATTTTACTGAAGGTAATTAGCAACTGTTCAACATTACCTTGGGTATCTACAAAACAATGCATTATGTCATATAATTAAATCCAGTTTACAGAAGGTAATTAGCAATATAAACAAACCAATACAATTGTAGGCCAGTACTTTTTTTCAATGTTAGTTTGGCTTATTCTACCCTCCAACAATGAATAACAGCCTGCATTATCCGACAAGATGTCACAGCTTAACCCCACTAGTTCCATGACTGAGTGATTGCTAAGGAACGTTGGGAGATGCATCTCTTATCTTTGTCTGCTATGGATGTTCTGGTAAACTTAAATATTCATGCACATCAATATGAAGCTGATTGTGATGAACTATGGCGGTGGTGGTGGGGGTGGTTATACATGTTTGAAATTCCTGTCAAACATGGTTGTGTTAAAGTTTAAGGGTCCCAGAGGTTTTAAACAACTGTAAATGATGACTGAATCAGCAGTATGCAGGGATAAAACTTTTGCTTTGAGACAAGTTTCTGTCAGTAGTAAAACATTGCATCAATGTCAGTTATCAGTATTTGACTTGTCACTGCTTTATCAGAAACAGCACTTCACAATGCACCCAGAGTTCAGTCTCATTTGGAACAGGCCTGGGTAGGTTTATGTAAAGTAGGACCCTTTAGGATCTATCACCAGGAAAAATGAAGGTCATCTACAACAGTCTTAAAAGCCTGAAAAGTTGGACCATTTCCCTGGAAGACATTGACCAACAATCTTAACCTTAATGTAGATAGCACAACTGGAAAGCATAGGATACTGAAGACAAGTTAAACCATATACATCTTTAAAATATATACTAAAATAACAAAGATGAGGGGAGAGAGTAAGTTTACCTCAAGAGCTGTTCCAATCATCACTACGAATAACTTCAAATTCACAAATTCCTTCCAAGAGTTTTTAGCGTTGTAATAGAAAGTGAAGTGATCAGCATCGTAGTGAACTGGCTATTCTAGACACTAGCACTGAGGACAACTGCTGTTTCTTTTGCCTGCTTTCTGCGCTACTCCGAGAATCAATATTTGCGAGTCTCCGTGTGGAGGCAGTGTTTGCCAGAGAGACAGCCAACTCCAGAGATTTCACTCTAATCTCTCTAAGTCCAAGAAGCAGGTTTCCACCAGAAGAGTTGTCACCCTGAGACTCAGAGGTTATTAAAATGTGTCCATGTCTGGCCAAAACTTCTTTGCTTAATGACAGTTAATTTATTTCTCTAGCATTAATGTTACATATCTGGTTCAAATGTTCATGTCAACACAGAGATAATCTGATCTTTCACTTTGAGGATGCAACTTCTTTATTACACAATGATTCAGGGCTACTTCTTATTCAAGGGAATACAACTCCTTGTCATGACTACCTCTAACTTTGAAATGTCTATGAAAAACCCTTCTCTTTGTACTTCAGTTGTCTTGCAGCGGTTGAGATCAGTACAAAGACGAACTGTTGCTTTCACTTTTTCTCTCCTGTTCTCATCAGACATTTTACAACATGAACACAAACAAAATATGTGAAATCTGGAAAGCACTATCTTTAGCTTGGAGTGGATTTCATGGCGGAGAAATCTGTTCAGGCATAACAGACAGGCATAATCACAGGTTGATATTTGAATATGTGACAGTCGGGCTTGTCCAACCCAATAATTACAATAAAGAAATATTGGTAAAATGTCCTTTGAAGGCAGAATTCAGAACTTTCCCTTTTGATGGCTAAACCTTTCCAGCACTGAAACTGAATGAATATTTAGTTTTCCTTTAGTGAATATATACCTTGTTGCAAGAAACCAGCTTCATTTAAAACTACACCATGAGACTGTAACCTTCAAACTAGCTTGTGAGAAGCCTAAGTTTGCTTGAATGCAGAAATATGATTTTAATACCCATCATCAGCATGCGAGATGACAACACGTTCATGTTACCTGTCGTCACAGCAGTCAGCGTACAATGTCTGACCTTGTGGAGTTCTCTTCTACCATAAGTGATAAACCATTCTGGTTCAATCTGAGACACTTCCAAACACAGTATACAGCATTCTTATTTAAACTTTTGGGGAGTTACCTTTCCATCCCATCTCAGCCTCCTGATCCACGTGATTATCATGTGTACCCGTCTGCTCAGTAGAGCCTTACTTGCCCATAGATAACACAGGACCAACTACCATTTAAAGCTTCCAGCAATATGTGTAGAAAGACACATCTGAGACACCATTTTAACTAAGTTATTATGATAGGATAACGAAGTGGTGACCTCAAATCCTCAATATCATCTTCTAAGTGTGCATAATATTCAATGTTAACATTTACAACAGCAAATTTGCATGAACAGCAATTCACAAAAAGAAAGAAAATTATCCAAAGAGACAAAATGCATAATCACTCTGTGTTGCTACTGACACCCCAGTCCCTTCAGGCCTCATCAGCTGTCACCATCCTTGAGGAAATCCTCCAACCACTGACCTTTCTTGTGGATTGGATTAGTCAACCGATCACACAAAACATTGTCACACACACAGATTACTGGAGCCCATCACACATGAACCTCTCAGAGCAGCTAAGGTAATCTGATCATAATGCTTCCAAACTTCCAATCAGTGATAACATCTGACAACAGATGGCTCATGACAACCTTTTAAAGTTATTGATAGGCTTAATGGTAACACTGATTGTCATGGATAAAAAAATCTAAAATTTAGATAGTTTAAAAACAAAAAAGACCTCGAGTCGTAATGGATGGAGACAGACAGTAAAAGCAAACCTATGTAGCACTTCAGGATCCCTTTTTCCGCAGCTTGGTTTCAGTCTACATCTTTAACATTTAAACAGTAAAAATGTGACTTTACACATAGGAAATGGAGTAAAGGTCATTCACTCCAATCAGCAAATACATTAAACTAGAAGGTTCTGTTCTCAATGAAATTGCCTAGATTGTTAATGGTTAACTAACTAACATTGGTACATAGTTATATTTCTCTAAGCAAACATAATGGTGTCGTCTAACAGTAGTGGTCTGGAATGTGTGGTTCTGACAGGATCCAGATTAGAGAGGTTTATCTCTATTCCAGCTTCATCACAGATGGAGGTAAATGATCAATTCCCACAATCAGCAAAGTCCCATTCGGTAACCACATGGACATCTCAAGACAGATCTCAAGACAACCAGCAAGGGTTCATACGATCTCTTCTGATCAAAATGTGTTTTACCAACACAAGTAAACAAGAAAAGAGTGAGTGAGTTTAGTTTTACGCCGCAGTCAACAATATTCCCGCTACCGGTATATGGTGGTGGTCTGTAAATACTCCAGTCTGGGCCAGACAATCCAGTGGTCAACAGCATGAGCATCATCTACGCAATTGGGATACGATGACATGTGTCAACCAAGTCAGCGAGCCTGACCACCCGATCCCGTTAGTTGCCTCTTATAACAAGCATGGGTTACTGAAGATCAATTTTAACCCAGATCTTCAGGGGTAAACAAGAAAAGACGTTTTTTGACTATCTCCTAGTTCTACTGTCCTACCTTATCCAGCAGGTGGTAGCACTGTGCCGTTCCCTCAATCCGTTCCCTCGTAGCTTCCAGCTGACTAGTGAACTGATGAAGGTGGTTCTTCAACATCCGGGCCAGATCTTTGTAACCTGTCACCTCATTACCCGTCTGGGTCAACATGCTAGCTTCCTCCAACATGTCATTGCCTTTCTCGATGTGTTTCTGCAATGAAAGTGTCACAACAGTCTGAACGACATGAATAACAGCCAATAGAAAATGCATTTCTCACCAGGATCTGTTTCCCTGGGAAATAAAATAAAAAAGGGAGACATTTTGAACAACTTCTGGTTATTGAAGTGAGACTATCTTCAGTAGCAGCTTCCATTAGTACAGACCATGTTCAGTAGATGTACTATTCATATCCTTGTTATGGCTAATGAGAATGGTGTCATGAGGGAAAACCAACACTATGAATTACTGAAATTTCCATTACACAGCAGTCAGGAAAAGCAAACGAAACTTACACTGCACGGACATGCACTGTTTAACTAAAGAGTTTTGTCTTTACAGACTTTCACGTCCAAATCAATCAAGCCTCAGTAAACAGTATTCGCCAAATTCATATTTTCATTGATTACCGGGTATATTGATTTACAAATCAAACAGCAGCTCCATTCATTAATATTGTCTGCAGTTGATCCCAGTCCCCATTCAAAGCATTTGCTGTGAACAAGGAACTCAGATGATTAAAATAAATCCAACAGCTGGAAAGATCTACCAAAACAAAGGGAAATCTGGCAACATTTCTTTCCTTCTGACACCTTCAGGTGAAATGAAGCCAACTTCCGCATCTACACAACGACCTACATTTGTTTTTGTGTTTGAGTGATGATGATCAGACAGGTCATGAATTAAACCAGTGAGTACATCAGTTCTAAAAGTTGTAGAGTTGCCCAAAAGGCTGCTGTCACATGTAGCTAGCTACTGTCAACCTAAATGTCAACTTGCAGTCAACTGTGAATTCTGGGACTGTTATTGGCTTCACAAGTCACGTATTTGACATCCTGTTTTAGTTGACATCACCAAATATTGTGCTGGAAGACCTTCAGATCTGTGATTGTTATTTCTGAGAATTGTGTAATATTCTAGGCGCAGTGTGTTAGGCGCTGCAGCAGACGAGTGCGGTTCAATACTGATCCACTATCCCCCAAGTTTCAACATTATATGTTTGTTATGACAATCCTACATTGGCCGTAAGTGCATGGCTAGTGACATGATCTAACATTCATATCAATTCCAGTCATAAAAATCTTTCCCATGATGCTTATCTGCTGAGTTTATAGTCTAATCATCATCATCATCATACTCGTCATCGTCATCATCATCTACGGGCTATCAGATCAACCTATAGTTTTACATCCAAGAGACTTACTGATGATTACATTGCAATCTTTGATAAAACATGTAAATTAAATAAGATTAGATTAATAAGGGACTGTTCAGAATTTATGGCTATGGTCTAATATATGTACAAAGTAAGTGACACCCCCCCACATGTCAAAATCAATGACCCCCCAGTACATGTGTACATAATTGATGACCCCCCTACCTCCCCAGAACAAAATGGGTGATCCCTTTTTAAATTCATCATCATCATCCCCCCCCCAGCCATAAATTGTGAATGGTCCCTAAACATCACTGAAAATTTCAAAGACAAAACTACTTGTGTGATAGTCAAAATGTATGTGTGTAGGATCTGACATATGTGCACTTACACTGCCCCAGCTATGCTTATAATGACTAATCCTTCTCATGCAATGTCAAAGATAAACAAGTCAGACTTATGTTAACTGGGAGCCTGATTTGCTGGCATCATTTCAGTATCAACTTCCGCATCTGTCTGCAAGGAGACAGAGACAGTGCTGCTTGCTTTGGACATAGCACACCTTGGGGACTACGTCGACAAGACATCACTCCAGTAGCTACTGTCAACATACAGCAGGAAGTGAAATACTCACTGAATCTAGTCACAGATACTTCAAACACTCTGCCATCACAGTATGGCCACGCAGATTTACAATGGCACGTTCTGATTGGTTGATATTATCAGACAAACATAATATGTCAGACGTTCGGTGAGATTTGTGCTGTAAATATAATTCAAATTCTGACCTTAAGTGCGCTTCTGGGTGAAAACAGTGCACTGTATGCCTTGTTTAGGTTCGACCTAGGAACACTTTAACTTGGGTCATGAAATTGGGTGAAATAAAATATGCTAAAATTTCAAAATGAAGGAAAACAATCTGAAGGATCCCTAACAAAATTCCATTTTTGAGGAAAAGCCATCCTCTCACCATAATTAAGATTGATGACATATTTTCAGACAACATGAGAGTTGACACAAACACATGGAGGTGATCACTGTCAAGATGGCAAATACTTGCACAACATTATCACAATCTATTTTACTGCATAATTTGGCTTGACAGTATTCCCTGTATGACATGACATGGCATGACATTATTGACTGTACAAAGGCTTGACATTACACCCTGTATATAGGTATGATGTAACACACAGACAGTACACACACTAGATAGTCTTGACATTACATATTGTAGATTTAACATTACAAGCTGAATATAATCTTGACATTACACTCTGTATATATGTATGATGTAATTTGACATTACATTCTGTATATAGGCTGGACATTACACCCTTTACATAGGCTTCAACCAGGTGCTACTTGTTTAGTGTTTAATTTGAATCTCTGAAAAATAGTACAATAACGTTTCAGATTAAACTTTGTTCCTGATCTGGCTAAATATTACATAAGTCAACATAAGTTAAGACTGGAGTAGTGCACATTGTTCTTGTTCAAATAACATAGAATAACAAGTCAGTTTGATAGTAAAACATGTTCTAGCAGGTCACTGATACAGGTCATTGATACTATTTGAAGAAAGGATACATTGCTTAGCATTGTTTTCCTGTTCTGGTTCCCAGTTTGGAAACTGAACAGTGAGTAGCCAAAGTAAGGCACTGGCATGCTTCAATTCAGATAAACAGTCTAAAATAACAGCAAACATCATTTTATCTTTGCAAATATGAGCAATATCTTCTATAAAAAACAATATTTTGTTGTGGGATAGAAAAACATTCCATTGTGTTGTGTAAGGATGACTAAAGGCTGGGTTTTTCACCCAGGAAATCCCTGGGCATTTGTTCTGTCATGCTGTATAGCACTGTTTATGAGGGCATTAACATTTTATCAAACAGTAGCGAGTTGAAGGTCGTGTGAGGGAGATGCCTGCTACATTAAAGGCTGTAGCCCTGGTGCACTGGGAACTGTCAGAAGCCGTGCATGACTGCTGCTACCTGAATATCAGTCTTAGACCAGTAGCAGACCCTCCACATATACAGCAACAACTGTCAGTATCCTAGCAGACCTTCCCCACATACAGCCACAACTGTCAGTATCCTAGCAGACCTTCCCCACATACAGCCACAACTGTCAGTATCCTAGCAGACCTTCCCCACATACAGCCACAACTGTCAGTATCCTAGCAGACCTTCCCCACATACAGCCACAACTGTCAGTGTCTTAGCAGACCTTCCCCACATACAGCCACAATTGTCAGTATCCTAGCAGACCTTCCCCACATACAGCCACAACTGTCAGTATCCTAGCAGACCTTCCCCACATACAGCCACACATACAGCAGACCTTCCCCACATACAGCCACAACTGTCAGTGTCTTAGCAGACCTTCCCCACATACAGCCACAACTGTCAGTATCCTAGCAGACCTTCCCCACATACAGCCACAATTGTCAGTGTCTTAGCAGACCTTCCCCACATACAGCCACAATTGTCAGTGTCTTAGCAGACCTTCCCCACATACAGCCACAACTGTCAGTGTCTTAGCAGACCTTCCCCACATACAGCCACAACTGTCAGTATCCTAGCAGACCTTCCCCACATACAGCCACAACTGTCAGTGTCTTAGCAGACCTTCCCACATACAGCCACAATTGTCAGTGTCTTAGCAGACCTTCCCCACATACAGCCACAATTGTCAGTGTCTTAGCAGACCTTCCCCACATACAGCCACAATTGTCAGTGTCTTAGCAGACCTTCCCCACATACAGCCACAATTGTCAGTGTCTTAGCAGACCTTCCCCACATACAGCCACAATTGTCAGTGTCTTAGCAGACCTTCCCCACATACAGCCACAATTGTCAGTGTCTTAGCAGACCTTCCCCACATACAGCCACAATTGTCATTGTCAGTGTGTCTTAGCAGACCTTCCCCACATACAGCCACAATTGTCAGTGTCTTAGCAGACCTTCCCCACATACAGCCACAATTGTCAGTGTCTTAGCAGACCTTCCCCACATACAGCCACAATTGTCAGTGTCTTAGCAGACCTTCCCCACATACAGCCACAACTGTCAATGTCTTCGCAGGTAAACACAAATGATATCTTAACACAGCAAAATCATCACCATTTGCAATACAAATTAGTGAATTTTTAAAGTCACCTTGCACAATTTCAGGAACCAAGAGACAAAGAAGTTTGATGCCACCAACATCCATGAAGATGCTTACAGTTAGCCGGGACACAGACAGTGGTAAGATGTACTCACACTTCATCCCACCCCAGGCACATACAGCTCCATCCACATCTTGTACCACACCTGCGCATAACCAGCCCTATCACACACTGACCAGGTCAGTTCACCTTGTATCACGCGTGCAGGCAGACACAATATGGCTGCAGTTGAAGCCACCATCACTGTTGCTATGATACGCAATTCTTCACCATCGCTACCTGCATTACAGGGACCAACTAATGTTTTACCTGCCTAGAAATCCAATACTGTAATTACCAAGCTTTTGATCAGCTCGGAGTGTCATTAAGATTAGGGTTGTTTTGTGAATTACTGTTAGGCAACAATGTATAATTAAGTAGTCAGTTTTTTATCACTAGCCATTATAGCGATCACTTCTACTATTGACAAGCAGCTTTGAAAGATTTTCCAGTTTGTTGACATACACACACTTGTGATATTCTAAGCAGTGTTTCCACAACTGCAACCTTTAGCATAACATCATAATCATTATCCATCATAACAAATTTTGACAATCTTCTGACACATTCATATGTGATAGAAAAGTATATCAATGACTGTACAGGACATTCGGAATAAGTTGAATGTGTTTAATATTCTTGCTGAAAATATATCCAGCTTGTGCATTACAAACAAGCTACTCACAGTCTATATGGGCCTTATTGAAGGTACAAGGTTGAGCGAGTGAGTGTGTTTAGTTCTCACTCGGCAATATTCCTGCTATATGGTGGTGATCTGTAAATAATTGAGTCTGGACCAGACAGTCCAGTGATCAACAGCATGAGCATCGATCTACACAATTGGGATACAATGACATGTGTCAACCATGTTAGCAAGCCGATCCCATTAGTCACCTCTTACGACAAGCATGGGTTAATGAAGAACAATTCTAGCCTGGATCTTCACTGGTTAACAAAGTTGAGACAGATGAGACCAGCACTTCCTGTTCATATGCCATGCAAACACAATCCAGACTCAGTTATTTCAAAACACATTAACTGTGCTCTCAGGGGAAAACCTGTGCACAGGCAACATTCCCACAAGAACTTTGCATTTGGAGAAATATAATTTGATTATTTAAAGTGATAAATAATCAAAGAAACACAAGAAATTTGAAAATTGAATGAATATTCATAGAAAAAAATAATATTCAGAATTCTTTTTGGAGTTAATAAATTCCTACAAACCATAGAAGAACATCTTGAACTCTGTGTTTAAGTATGAATGAGAAATAAAAATTGACCAGATGGTTACTTACCATGGCCGAGAAATAGAACTTCTCGAAGTCCTTCTGCTGTATCCGAGCTGCCTTCAGATTATCTGCTGTGCAGGAATGCCTTTGTATATTCTGACTGCCATCATTACTGGTCCAAGAGATCAACTGAAACAAACAATACATTTAATCATAAAAAATGTAAATACTCAGCAACAACATTCATTGTGAGCACTCCATCAGACAGTGTGTGCATCATTCACTGCAGGCATGTTTGTTGCTGATTATCACATATCGAACCTTGAGAAAGTTGTCTGCCGTGTTTTGAAACACCTGAAGTAGAATGGTTCTACCATGAAGTTCCAGCAGATATAATCGGATTTTCTTGATATCATTGGCAGCAACCATACTGCGCATCCTTTTCATACTCCTCCAACCAGAGATGCCTTGAATCAGACACTTTATTTATTCAGTTTCAAAATCAAAATCAGCAATCACCATGGAAGCCAAACAACCAAAAGATTTCAAAAGTTTCCATCTCCTGGCACTGAGGGTGTTGCTATGCAACCAGACAATGTTCAACACTGAAATTCAATTATGTTCCTCAGTGCCAGATGCTGTCTCAAATCTGGAGTCATGTCCTCATCCAATCAAAAAACGTTTTCAAACTGTTAATCCAATGAGAAGTCATCTTTTAAATTCAGGGATATCTATGAATGTAAGGCACTATCTTGTCAGGGGTCATATCATCACTTAACCCTTTCAAGTACAACCAAATAGCTGGCAAACTATTTACAAACAGAGCAGAACTTCCCTTTTGCTGTTTCCCTCTGTTTTCATCTCCAACAGCTGTCTGTAGTCCATGAAGCAGACGGAATACGTACAAGAATATATGTACAGACATACAAATCACTGACATACAAATAATATTTCACCGAGTGGTCGAGGTGGTTTGGTACATTGACAGGGGGCTAGTGTGTCTATGGATGGCAGTGTTGGTGTGGGTGGAAACACTGAGAAAAATACTGGCAACTCAATATGAACTTACTACTTCATACTTATAGAAAAATGTTCCTTACAAACCATAATAACAACATACAGTTTCAGTTAAAAGGTCAACTTTAAAAACTGGAAGCATGCATGCACCATTAAAGATAAAACATTTTGAGATGTAGCTTGTGAAAGTGTTAAGCATACAGAGTACAGTGTTGATTCCTGTGTTGAGATAGGGATGGTTGTGTGGATGTCTGTGTACATGGAGATATATAGGGTAGCTTCACAAGCTTCACACATGGACACTCCAAAACTGTCCAGGCCATGGAGGGGAAATGGATAAGATGTAAGTCATGGGATGTGGCTATATAAAGTGATGCTGATGAAACACTTGCATACACTGCTGAACAAAGCACCAGCTAGTCTGTCTCACAGTCCCTGAACCACATTATTTCCCCTATAGCCTAGCCCTCCCTGCAATGCTAAAGCCCTAAATGAAGCAAGTCTAGATTTCCCCCAGATTCAGGCTGAATCTGCCGACCCACTGGGGCTCCTTTTCAATTTAAATGGATTTAATTGTAAAATTATATTTATTCAGGGACTAAGCGTCAGTCTAAGCACGAGATTCTGTCAACAAATACAAGCTACTTTAAGTTTTACTGATCCATAAATTGTTATTAAAGTGGCGCAAGCCATCGTAACTGTGAGAACACTGATCAACTGAGTAGTGTTTGCCTAGGATCATGCAGCATCTGTAATATCAAACCTTACACGCCATGTTGCAGGCATAGCACCAGTTGTCAGTTACATGTCAACAAATAACTACACTCACCAACTCCAAAGGGAAAATGCAACTGTGTGACAGTTATTTATAGCAGCATTAGAGAACAATGAAGTGAATACATTATGACACAAATCTCATAAATATCTTAGCAAGTTCTGAATATTTTGAACATATTCACAATACATATTGACTGAATACTTACTGAAGTATTCTTTTTACAGCAAAAGGGCAAGAGAGATCCTTTGAGAGAACATCTACCTTTCATGACTGGAGATATAACACCGGCTAGTGTACAGCCCAAGTACCAGCTGATCAATATTAATGTATCACTTCCAGTTAATCAAACCTAGAGATCTGTCCCCCCACAACCCTCTGTCCTACTGGTCGGACAACTGTAATCATCAGTGAATGACATGTCGCTCCATTTATGGCTATTTTACAACACTTTGCAGCAATTACCAGGATTGCTCAATTATCTGTAAACAATTTCAAATTCAAATATGTTTGGGTTACAGTGACTGGATTAAATGTGGCGTGATTAAGCCGACAAGGATATTGGATAGGGCCAGACAGAAAAAATGACTGATGACAAATCTCAAAGTAATGTCTTTAATTTATCTGATTTAAAAATGAAAGTCATCAGGTTATAAAACAGATTTCTAGTCTCACCTGCCAATGTGAAAAAGAACTCAATCAGTTGTGATCCAGACAGAGATTTCATGTACTGTGACGTGTATCTGCTGTGTAGGTGTTTCAAGCTACGTCTGAATCTCACTCAGGATAAACTAAACTTCCATGTCAAGTTTAATTTCAAACTATGTAGCCCAATCACGGATAACACCCCAACTGTGACAAAATCACAAAATGAACACTGTAACTTCTCCAAGCAAACTCACCAGGGTGAAATGTGTACAGGTGTGAAAGCCCCCACCTGTAAGGTAATGGAGTCTTCAAGATGAGGGTAGGTGTGAAGTCACCCACATGCCTGCAGCGTGAGGCAAACACGGGGATGAGGACACACAGTATATACCATCACCTGTAGGCTGGTGTAGACGCTACACGAATACAGGCGCAACACAGGCTTATCACCCATGGGGCACAGCCCATCACAGGTAGCAAGGTCAATCTGCCCCACTTCACATGCAGGTCAGGAATACCTGTCCAGATGTGACTTACTCAGAAAACTCTGAGCTCAGTTTGTAATCCTCTCTAATTGCAGACAATCAAAACCATCCCTGTCGGCCATACAAACAACTATTGACTGTACATGTTTCACCTTGTTTCTCTACAAATAACTTGCCCCATTACTGTACTTGTCCATGAAATAACACAAAACACAGTACATACTGACTACTCTATGTAAAGGATACACATATGTATGCCTGTTAATACACTATGATTTAGTACCCAGTAGTACATACTGACTACTCTATGTAAAGGATACACATATGTATGTCTGTTAATACACTATGATTTAGTACCCAGTAGTACATACTGACTACTCTATGTAAAGGAAACACATATGTATGGCTGTTAATACACTATGATTTAGTACCCAGTTCTGTCCACACTGGCTGCTATTTATTACTGGGACACCATGGACTGCAATTATGATTACTATCATGCTGACAACAGACAAACACTTCACTAACATTAGGTAGACTGATACAAGACCTAAGCAGTTCTAGCCTGGGTTGTCGAGGAGTCGTCTGATTACCTACTGATGACTGATTACAGTACCAGACAATAGGCCCCCTCGTTTAAGTCATGGTGGCTTTAGAAAGGCTATATTAGGTCATGATGGGCTAAAGTTAAGTCAAGGAAATATTAAAACAAATGCAGCAGACAAAATCAGACAGTCCACAGAACAGGACCAGCCCAGGACTACCTAGCAAGGAACCTATCAATGTCCTATTGCATGCTTGAGTCAGGATCAGACAGTAGGGTCATAATGGTGTTCTCCATTCAAACCAGGACTTACCTTCATCTTGGCTGCTAGTGTTGGGCAACAACTTGGCGGCAACACTTACGTGCAGCACAGGACAACTTGTCCCACATCCTTCTATGCATGTAGCATAGTTACAGTGTATAGTTACTCTATGGGAACAGTAAAACAACAAGAAGCAACCATGGATGGCTTGAGTGTTGTCTGTGACCAAGGATGAAGGATCGATGTAAGCTATAAATGTATCCTTTCCAATATGGACATAGAATAATGGTGAAAAGCTGTAACTGTCATCATGAAAGTGTTATTGGTGCTGCAAGAAACATGTGACAGTTGTACAAGCGAAGACACCCAGCTACCTCCACCTGAGTCAGTGGGTATGTTGGGTAGTTCGGGTTAACCTTCAAGTATACACAAACCCATCCAGCACAGAACAACCTCATCCACGACAGTCAGCCTTTACAGTGACCACCATAGCATTGGCAAAACCATACTGATGTGTAACTGGCAGGCCAAAACACTGAAGAGGTTGGTACAATTATCAAGACAGACACCTTCAGTGACCCTATAGAAACAGAACAGGACACATCTACTTTTCATAGGAATGACACTTATCATGCATTGAGTATTCCCATCAGAAAGTCCTGTTTGAGCTGAGAACCACCAAGAATACAGCCCACACCTTTCCCAACACACACTGATCTCAGAATACCTCCACTGACAGCATAAACAGGAAACCCATTACTGCAGATGGACACCCATAAACACAACTATTCTGATAAGTCCTAAGCTACATAGATAGTGTTTAATACACCCACACCACATTTAGCTAATCTCTAATCTCTTCTACCCGTGCTTAATTGCCCTATCTTATAATTATATCATATTTGTGTTTTTTCAAGACTGAGGTTGATAAGAGAGTGTCAGTTCTCTGATAAGATTTGTCAGCTGTGGTATAAAGTTAGTCAGTGGGGAGCACCCAGCTGGCAGAGGGATTACACTCATGATCTCACCAACAGATAATGGTTATTAATCATATCATCAAGGATATAACATCAAACATTAACTGACGATAAAACTGACATCTCTGATGTGGTGGAATTTGCAAGAACATCAAAGAAATATTGCTGCTTTGAGCATGAAGAACAAGCAAACATAAATGTCAAAATACTCATAACCGTAACCAACTAAGGTCAGAAGATGGGTACTCAATATCCCAGAATCCAATTATAACATTGAATACCAAGAAGATAATGTTGGAGCTATAATCAAGGATGCTGCCTGTGGTACTCCACTCCTTCAACTGATTTACACCACCGAGTAGGTGAGTTTACTGAGGTCAGACTACTTGACCTCCTCAACATACCAGGCCAGCTGGGGTGTGTACTGGGTCAACTCCTGGCCTGCTCACACCACAGTTGGAACTTACATAACACTACCTTACCA